GAAGAGAGGCTAGGCAACGCAGCAGCAGCAGCCCCAGAGGAGGAAGCAGGAGGGAGTTTTTCTCTGTTTGTGCACATGCACTCTCTTTTTCCTTCCCCCTTGCTTCCTCCCTAGAGGAAGAGAGCCTACAGCAGCAGCCCCAGAGGAGGAAGCAGGAGGGAGCTTTTTTTCTACTGCGTGCACATGCACTCTCTTTTTCCTTCCCTCTCACTTTCCTAAGGAAGAAGAGAGGCTTTGGCAACACAGCAGCAGTAATGGCCGGAAGATGCAAGTACTTGCTTGCAGGCCGTATACCAGTCCAGCTTGCGGGCCGCATGTTTGACACTCTTGATCTAGACCGTTTGTCTCTCAGAATACTAATCAGATTTTGTTACATGATCTAAAGACTTTTTCTCCACATGGTCTGAATCAAAACACGGACTTTTCTTCTTACATCTCAAAATCCGAATGGTTCAAATATATACACAAGCTAAGGTCTATATGAGCTTGTACCTTTATGCAGGGGTCATTTCGTAGAAAAAGAGCTAGGGGAACTCATTAGCATAACTCATTAGCATATGCCACACCCCCTGACATCATAAGGCCCGGCGGTGGACCTGCAAGGCCTGCGGGAGTGCGAGGAAGCCCCGCCAAGGCCCTCCCTGGCCCCAGGCAGGCAGGGGTGGGGAGAGGCAGGGAGGAAGCAACTTACCCTCCCTCTTCTCCTGCCTCCTCCTGGCTGAATGAGGGCCGGAAGCGGGGCGGCCGGAAGCAGGGGGTGTGGCTTCGTTGTGTGCCCCGCCCCCCACACCTCACCCGGGGGAACTGCGATCCCCCGCGATCCCCCCCGAAATGACCTCTACCTTTATGTACCTATATGAGCACTGTACCTTTAAGGAGCAAGACCAACCTGTAGCAGATTACCTCTTGGAGCCTTTAATTCTGCATGGTTGTTTACATAAGAACCCTGTCTACAACAAGGTAGTCAGCATTTGTACATGTTTTGAGAATCTGAATACTCTACATGGTGTCAATGATTAATGTTTGATTTTTATATGATTTTATATATGAATTGTATATGCTAAATATGCATGGTTTACTCACTTTGATTAATTCTTGTATAGTTCCATCTACAAATTGTTATTATGACATGAAGAAGGTTTTCCTTCCGAAATGTGATTTACACCTAGGATATGCATTGCATTGAGTTCAAATGTAAATATACAAGTGTTACAAGATGCAGGGACTAAAATAATTTCAAGTATATTTGAATGATCCCAGTTCTGGAACAACTTACATATTCATGTCACATTAGATTGGATGAAATCAGTACACCCATTGGAGTGCCTGTGTGCACCCACTTTAAAAGGTAAAGGTTCCCTTTGCCCGAAAGCCAGTCGAATCCGACTCTAGGGTTGCAGCGCTCATCTCCGTTTCAATGCCGAAGAGCCAGCGCTGTCCAAAGACATTTCCGTGGTCATGTGGCCGGCATGACTAAACACCAAGGCACACGGAACGCTGTTCCCTTCCCACCGAAGTGGTACCTATTTATCTACTTGCAATTTCTTGCTTTTGAACTGCTAGGTTGGCGGGAGCTGGAACTAGAGATGGGAGCTCACTCCGGCATGCGGCACACTCGGGTCTCGAACTGCTGAACTACCAACCTTCCACAGCCTGCAGTTCAGCGTCTTAACCACTGAGCCACCGCAGCTCCTTTAGTGACTGTGTACACCCACTTAAATTGCCTGTGAGCACATTTTGTGACTTCTAAGCCGCTTGTTTGGCTCATGAAGTTTTCTGTTACTGATTATGTTATTTGATATATAGAGATTGCATAACAAAAGATGTAGAGACTCGGTTAGCATTAAAATTGTATTTTAATGATATACAGATAATTCTTAGAGTTATTGAGTAATTGATCTCGGCTTTCCCTTCATTTCTCAGTTACACACGCTCGGCATCCCGATTTTGCTTTATAGGCCCTGGGTGTAGCAGATATTTTCTGGGACTGGAATGACAGGCCCCCAGAGTGGAATGACAGCCCCTGGGAGAAGCAGAACCATTCTGGGCCTGGATTCACAATCCATAGAGTGAAATTAAATACTTTAAATTTTATTCAATATTTCTGGAAGGTGTGTAGCTATCACAAAATCAGCTCCACCTCAGTAATTATCCTGCCTGTCAGCTCCTCAGTTTCTTTACAAATTTATGAGTTCGATGTGAGCCACCTCCTCTGTTGTCAGTTATAAATCTTGCCCCTTCCCCCCCTTCAATTTCCAGTGTCCAGTTCTGCTGCCTTCTGGACCTCCATGTTCCTATTACGTGTCACACCCTGCCTGAGTTCCTTGCACAATGTTGCCACGCTGTTGACCACTGACCAAGAGCACCCCTCCATGGTATTGGTGAAAAAAACCATCCTGTACTCTATCTCAGGGGTCCCCAACTGTTTTGAGCCTGCAAAATGTTTGTAATTCTGACACAGTATGGTGGGTGCAGACACAAAGTGACTGTTACAGGAGGCGGAGTGAGCCAGGAAACGATGGCCATAGCATACCTTCAGTCACATAGTGAAGATCCTCATTATGTGGTGGCAGGGGCTGTCATTCCCCTGTAGAGTGACATAGAGGCTGTCATCCCAGTCCCAGATTGCTTCTGCTTCTCCCAGGGGCTGTCATTCCACACCGGAGCCTATCATTACAGTACCAGAACACATCATCTACCCCCAGGGGTTGTCATTCCAGTCCCAGAATGCTTCTGCTACTCCCAGGGGCTGTCATTCCACTCTGGGGGCTGTCGTTCCAGTCCATGAATGCTTCCGCTACCCCCAGGGGCTGTAATTTCACTCCGGGGGCTACCATTCCAGTCCCAGAACACATCTATCCCCAAGGGATGTCATCACACTCTGTGACCTGTAATTCCAGCCCTGGAATGCTTCTGCTACTTCTAGGGGCTGCCATTCCACTTTGGGGGCTGTTATTCCAGTCCCAGAACACATCTGCTACCTCCAGGGGCTGTCATTCTACTCTGGGACCTGTCATTACAGTACCAGAACACATCTCCTACCCCCCATGGCCTGTCACTCCACTCTGGGGCCTATCATTCCAGTCCCAGAATGCTTCTGCTACTTCAAGTGCTGTAATTTCTCTCCCGGGCTGTCATTCCAGTCCCAGAATGCTTATGGTATTTCCAGGGACCATCACTCCACTCTGGGTCCTGCCATTCCAATCTCAGAACCCAGCTCCTTCCCCCAGGGACTGTCACACCACTCTGGGGCCTGGCATTCCAGTCCCAGAACACATCTCCTACCCCTAGCGCATGTCATTCCACTCTGAGGCCTGTCATTCCAGTCCCAGAACACAGCTTCTACCCCCAAGGACTATCATTCTACTATGGGGGCAGTCATTCCAGCCCCAGAACATTTAAGCTACATCCAGGGGTTGTCATTCCACACTGGGGCCTGTCATTCCAGTCCCAGAATGCTTCTCGTACCTCCTGGGACTGTCATTCCACTTTGGGACCTGTAATTCCAGTCCCAGAGCACATCTCCTACCCCCAGGGACTGCCATACCACTCTGAGGCCTGTCATCCCAGTCTCAGAAAACATCTCCTACCCCCAGAGATTGTCATTCCATTCTATGGCCTGTCATTCTAGTTCCAGAATGCTTCTGCTAATCCCAGGGGCTGTCATTCCACCCTGGGGTCTGTCATTCCAATCTCAAAACACATCGCCTACCCTCTCTATCATTCCACCCTGAGGGCTGTCATTCCAGTTCCAGAACACTCCTGCTACTCCCCAGGGCTGTCATTCCACTGGGGACTTTCATTCCGCTTCCAGAACACATCTCCTACCCTCAGGGGCTGTCATTCCATTGTGAGGCCTGTCACTCCAGTCCCAGAGTGGTCTACCTGGGTCCAGAGACCATAATGGAAAATCCATTTTGCATTTTCTTTGCATCTCATCTTCTGCTATAATGTACTTCAAGGGAACCCAAGCATGTCAATTGGCATTCCTGGCTCCCATTTTTTCTCCAATGGGCCTTCAAGCCTCTCCCATTGTTTTCAATGGTCTATCCTGTCATTCCTTTTAATACATCCTTCCTGCCCCACACCCCACACACCTGAAGCTGCCTTCTACTGAATCACACCCTTGGTCCATCAGATTCACTATTGTCTATTCAGACTGACAGCGGCTCTCCGAGGTCACAGTCTGAGGCCTTTCGTATCACCACCTGATCCTTCGAACTGAAGATGCGGGGGACTGAACCTAGGACTTTCTGCATGCCAAGCAGATACTCTACCACTAAGACACTTCTTTCCACCTGGGCCGCGCGGCTCCTCGTAAGCCCTGATTCAAACGCGACCATCGATGCTAGCAAAGCAAAAGAATGCAGCCATCAGATTCTTGCAGGGCTCGGAGCGCGTTTGCCTCGCCGCCAGCCTCAAGCCGCGGGTGGGTGGGGTCGGGGGGAGCCGTCGCTCAAACCTGATTCTGGGGCGTTGATCCGACGTTAGAAGGAAGGTCCCTCCGGAGAGGCAGAGAAGCCTTGCGGGGCACCTTAAGGACTAAGTAATTTATTGCACCGAGCCCTTCTTGGTCAAGAGCTTCGCGGAGGTTCTTCCTCCGGCAGAGGAGACTGTCCCGTCTGTGCTTTTATGTGTCATAAAGAAAAAAGGACAACCGACTGAGCTCGGTAAATTGGGCGTGGCTGAAAAGACGCTGCAGTTCGGCTCTTTGCATTTTCACTTTCGCTTTCCGCAGGGTCGGAACAGTGTTCCCTCTAAGACGAGTTAGTGTGAGCTAGCTCAGTTTTTTAGCCTCCGGCTCAAACATTTTTGTCTTCGCTCAGGAAGGAGGGCTCCAGAGCGAACTAATTTATGCAGCAGCCGAATCGCTCGCTCACAACTTTAATGCCAGCAGCTCACAAAATAGAGTTCTTGCTCGCAAGACTCCACAGTTTAGCGAGAGCATTGGTTGGGAAAGCACAAAATGGATTCACTTTCCTTTCCCACTTTGCTAAAGCTGATCAATCGGGCTGGTTAATTCCTTCATCCCCAGATCCCTTCTGTCTTCCAGCCCCCTCCTGATTTGCTGCCCTTTCTTGGAGTAGATGCCATTTGTATGCACGGCTTTTCTAAGTATTACGGGAATCACCGCCGCCGATCATTTTCCCCGGCCGCAGAGAACCCTGGGAAATGTAGTTCTATGATGGCCGGCCGGAATTATCCACGCTGAGAAGGGAGGGAGACCGAAACTGCACGCGAGATGGAGAAAGGAAGAGGACTTAAGTAACGTTTGCCCTCTGGAAAGCCTCGGCATCACACCAAACGATAAGGGAGCAAACTGCAATGTTGCACGGCCAGTAGGAAGAAAAATGAATTCCCATTTTAGCCTCTCAAATTTTGTGCCTTCTCAGGCAATTGGGGTGATTGAGAGACGACTTCTGTTTAAGAAGCACCTTCCTCTCTACTGGGCAAGTGATTCGCACAATTCAGAGCCCCCGCCCCCGACACGTGTCTACACATCTACATGCTGGAGACATTCATTCTTCGCTAAGATGGGGGAGTTGTAAAAGCTTGGACGGTTGCACCTTAATAACCCGGGATGTCAAATAAATCATATGACTGCTGTTATGTGTATTGGGAATGGAACATCCCAAGGAAAACCCAGAAATATTACACAGGCCGCAAAAGCCCCAGAGAATCCACGTTCCAGTGCCTTTTCCGTGCAATCGTGGCAGAGGGCCTATTAATTGGTTGGCATAGAGACTCTAAGCTGAATAAGTGTGAGCTAGCTCAGTTTTTTAGCCTCCAACTCACAGATTTTTGTCTCTGCTTAGGAAGGATGGCTCCAGAGCAAACTAGTTTATGCAGTAGCCAAATCGCTTACTCACAACTCTAATGCCAGTAGCTCACAAAGTAGAATTTTTGCCACAAGACTCCACAGGTTAGAGGGAGCATTGGTACTGGGTAGTGTTGCTAGG